GGTCCGAGTCAAATGACAAATTATACACTGGCTAATTTTGAACATCTCGTAGGCTACTGAAAGAGATGTCGCAACTGACATAATTCGACCGCTGGTACTATTTGTTCATCGAATGTTGAAGTCACTACAATATTGTGGCATGAGTTCGAAGGCTTCAAGGTTGGAAGAGTACAGACACATGACTACCATACTACCTAATGTTACTTTTTGACAAGACTTTTGTTGTTTGTTGCTAGAGCCCGTCGATTCCTGGGAGACACATCAGGGACGCGGTTTCTTGCCGTTAGTTCCTTCTTTACCGCAATACCTGTATTCATAGCAAGTAAGTGTGGAAATATTTGAATACTCATGATGAGAAAGTTGAAACCCTGTCAATTTTATCTTGGCCTACGTGTATTTAGGCGTTAGTGGTTTGAATGAATGATGAAGAACCGGAACTGTTTAGATTGTAGCCACGTTTGATTTTCCAATGAGGAGATGCAGTTACATAACTGCCCCACTTAAGCACTGGTTCGAGCTGCACAAATTGGAAACGCACATGCGCAAAGGATGTTCGTGAGTAGAATGATTCCCGAGACAAATTGTTCTAGCCATCGAAAATGCTGATAGTCATGTAACCCGTCAGTCCTGATTTATTCATTTTGCCCCAAATGTTTCTTTTTATACATGCAACTCAACCAATTTCCGTTCTTTTTTCTTAATTCTCTAGCTTTTACGTTGTACATCATTCACGAGTTCAGTGTGGTGCCTGCCGCTTTGTCCACGTCCTTCCTTGGCCTCGGCCTTATTTTCATTTTTACCACCTTCGGTCGCAGCGTCTGGCTGTGGAGAAGGGAACACGACCTCATCATTCGTGGTGTTGGCGTGTTCGAGTACAACGGGACATCAGCCATCAGTAGCGTTGATGGGAGGGCGCCCTTTGCCTACACAAATAATGCTAACACGACAGCAGAGACGACGCGAAACCAGTCTACGGACAATAATTTGTCAACTCTGGTGTGAAAATGGTACATGGTTTATTTTAACGCTTCATTTGTTTATGATACTGAGCACGCAGTAACCAATTATGTATATCCATGGACGTGGACGGTCGTAAAGTTCTTCGTCAGAGATGTCTGTTTCATTAACATATGCAATCATAATCATTGTAACGTGTAAAGTGTTTCTCTGCTGTTCCACCGGCGTTTTAAGGGCGTGGCATTCCGATATGCTGCTGGTAAATTAGTTACGGTTTATGACTGCATAATTCGTTCTAACAATAAGGCTAACGCAGTGTCACATCTTTTCACAGTATTAAACGCCCTGAACCTTTGGAAGGTTTGGACATTGTTGCTTTTTCCAAAAAACAATTCTTTCCTAGAGATACTGTATGAAAATATATAGCGATGAAGTGAGCGCCCTTCTCTCCATGACGTCTATTACAGTCGCACCCCTAAAAATAAATTCCCATAGACACCAATGATAAATCCTTATATTTCAAAATTGTTTTAAAAGTACAATTCTTACAGGTGTTCAGGCTGCACAGAAAAATGATGTTTGACATATCCTCTTTCATTTTCCCTTCAACCTTTAGTGGGTTGATCGATGAATTTTTGAGAAATTCTCAACCAAAGCAGACCACCCCTAAAATGAAGGAAATTTCACTGCCCGGAAAAGTAGCCATTTTGGAAATGCACCCCTCTGCAAAACGGCTAAATTATAGTGCCACTTTCGGAACCGATTGCACCCAAATTGCTCAGAATTGGAGTCCGGGCCCGGAGGTTCAGCACCACCCTTTCTGCAATTCTCAAATTCTATGGTTTTCAGGACTCTTTAATATAGAATATATTCTGTGTATAACTTTTAATAAGAGCTCGACGGACACATTTCTGGCGTATTTGCTTTACACCAAAGGAGCCTCCGTTGCAAAGGAAATAACGCCCTTTCTTGGTCCAGCTCGAAGCCCATTGAATGCCGGTGATATACGAAATAAACCTGAGACTTCAGATAGTAAAAACAAATTCTCGTCATCGGCTAGAGCTTTATACCTCGGCTCAGTAATGGTTCGAATCCATTGTCGCTCCGTTGTCACTCTTGGTCTTCCAGGATCTCTTAGGATGTTGGTACAAAATAACCGTCGCTGTGTTCTCTGAATGAAATTGGCCTTTACAAGAAATAGCAATGGTCCTGATTGTTTCATCAGTGTGAAGTATGCTAAGCTTCAAATGATGTCGGCTGAACTTGGCTCACGAGTATATTAAATAAGATCTACCGTTGCACCTCCCACCTTCTCTAACTATATTCTCCAGGAGACATTTTTCCTTTCTTAGTCTAAAGTAATTGATAGCACCAGCATTCTAGAAATGGTATACTGTCATCTTTGGGGGATTTCTTTATGGATGGAAAAAAGACGGCTGTTTTGGAGGATATTCCACCCCCTCCCCGACCTGGATACGCCATTGAGGCACAATATACTTTGCTTAATGCCTGAATGCGGCAACCGCGCAGGGAGTTATGTGAAATAATACATACGCACCTACGCAAAACTGAACCCCACATCCCCACACCTTACAGGGTTCCAGCTGTAAGATTGGAAATTATCAGGGAACGTCTACGATCTTAACAGCAGGTACCGATTATAGAAGGAACATATGCGTAGTCGTTTCAACATTTCGGATGCAGAAATATTTACAATGCTTTCGAGGCTACACCTTTTTCTTAGATAATTTCAAACCTTGAAAGGAGATGTTTAGTTCTTTTTAAGCCGGGTATCAGTTAAGTAATGAGCATGGCCTCTGTCAACACTTATAGATATTTGCCAAGCATGGGGGCTTGCTTACAACAACTGGTTTCAACAAACAAGCTTATCGAATAATGACGGCAAACAATGCAAAACCTCGGAACACCTTACATGAGAACTCTCGCAAGAGAACATCTTCTAATCATGTCTGTTGGATTTTCCGGTCATACTGAAAAGTGTAGGACTACGTCCTGTAAAGCTGAAATCGGGGACAATAGTAAGTACAGAGTACTTTATTCTAATCGCTATGTTCACGTTTCCAAGAAACTGTTTATAAAGGAAACTGTTTTATCTGAGTGTCTGCTAATAATTTCTTGTACATGTAATAACATGGTAGAAACTCCTCCTGAATAAACAAGGTCTTTGTGAGAGTGGCAAGTATTTTAGGGGTCATTGCAATATAGTTGTCTCTCGAAACCAGGACGCAGTTCGCGAAACTAGTTGTTGAAAATCAAGTTGGAAACGATAGCAAACTTTTCTCTATTTTCTACACCATTTCCCATCAATATATCAGTAGCGTTGCTTATTGATACAAAATAATTATACACTTTCATTGGGCTATTTACCTTTGATTATAGTAACAACACTCAAGCACTGTGCTCTAAGCTGACCTACAAACAAGTTAGCGTGTGATACAAGAGATGGTATTTGAATATGAAAATGAGTGTGACGTCAGTCCTTTTGGCAAGTAGTACGTGGCACCTCCTTAAACTCAGTTATCTGTAGTCACCAACAAGTTACATAAACGAAAAATTGTGTCAGACTTTCGATTAATCAAAAAACTTGGACACAAGTTTTGGTCGTCCAACATCAGCCATGGCGGACGAGAAAAGTGGCGAGAATGACGCTCGAAGTCTACGCGCTTTGTTTAAGAATTTGATGGGTAACACCAGCGCGCACGGGTTGCCAAATATCGACCGCGCAGGCAACCCGTTCCGGCGGTGCTTTTGGTCCGTTCTCTTTGTGTGGGCTCTTGGGATGTTCTTGTGGCAGTGCTACGAACTTGTCTATGCCTATTTCCAGTGGGAAGTGGACGTCAACATCAACATTCAGTACAAGTAAGCAGTGAATGATCAATGTTGCCCTTGAGTATTGAGCTCGATACTACAATCCACTTTATCATTTTCAAAAGCACTCAAATTTTAGTCCCTACGGGAACATTAAACTTGCCTAAAGGAGTTCGCCAGTGAATGTAGCAACTTTACTTTGTTGCCTCGAAGCCCTAAAATTGTGGGGTGACGACAGCTGAAGCTGTTATTGTGTTAGACCGACTGCATCAAGGATACGACTTCGGGCAGCAAAGTTTGAGAGTGGTAAAAACCTATCATGAATTCTTACAGCATGGGTTCATCCAGACATCCTAATTTGATAGTTGTAATGTATACGATTTTAGCAGGTTCCACTTATTTGCTCCCTTTTCCCCAGGGCTTACTGAGAATGTTGCATTGCAAAATTCTAACTTGGTACCGTACCAGACAAACCAATGACCTACGTTTGGCTCTTTAAGCCAATAATGGTCCTATCTAACATTCTTTGAACTGTAATTTTGTCAAGCCTCCTTTAGATAGACTTGTAGATCCGCCCAATAAAATGAACTTATCATTTGGAACAAAAAGTAAATTTGCTCGTAATTGAAAAGCAAATTACAAGTTGGAAGCGACAAACTATTTTCTCATTTCGTAAAAAAATAGCCAATCCACTCATTAAAATTTTGTGGTAAAACTCCATGAATCCAGCACTTGACATCCTCTCGTGTTTTCCCAGGACTCAAATTGACTTTCCTGCTGTCACCATTTGCAATCTCAACCCGGTCAAAGCTTCCTCCCTAAGTAACAGCAGGGAGCTAGAAATCTTGCTTGGGTCTCTAGACAGCGAGACCAGCGGGTCGACCGATGGCAGTTGGACAGCAGTGACCGCTGTGACACCCAAGGTGACATCAGATCAACTGTCTGTCAACTCCACAGACGGGGAGCTTTTCGGAGGGACAGCCTCTAGTGTCACAAAATTGTTGCCGGCGACAGAAGCTGGATTAACGGCCACAGGTGACACGCACACCCTGAAGGTAAGCTCAGAGCGTGATCAGCTAACACCAACATCGACGGACGCCAGTAGTCCGAGTTCTGGCGTCTCAAGTGCGAGTCCTGCAGGATCTGCGCCAACCCATGTTGTCGGAGGTACACAGATGGCAACGAATGCGGTCACAGCGGGAGTGGGAATCCCAACAAAAGAAGTTGAGAGGCGGAAACGAGACACGAGCACGGTAAGTTGGGACGGCATATAATGACAGGATGATAACCATTCCTTCTTCCCGAAATAATGCGTCATTTTTGTTCATGATCCAGAAATTAATTTTATCAATTGTAACGCAGTTAATACTTTAAAATCCCTTTGTAATCTAGTATCTTGAAATATACTAAAGTCAGTATAGAGATTTGAAGGTTTGTGCAGTGATGTTCCGTAAGAGTTAAGCGTTTGGGGGACGCTTTATTGATGACACGAAATCGTTTTGTAACGACACAAACTTCTCTGTTTTCTCATCCAGCCATATTATCTTATCAAATGTAAATAACGCCAACCATGAGTTGGAGTGTTGGCAGTCTCCTGCATGACAATCACAATGTTGCTCAGATTGTTGTTGAGTGGCAGGTTCGTCTTAGACCCACAAATGACACACAAATTAATTTAATGTCAAGTTGCCCCAACAGAAGCCTTAGCATAACATTGGCAGATTTTCATGTTAGAACTTACTTTCGGTTGAGGATTTTCTTCGCATTTAATATCTTTGGACAAGCCAGAGGACATTGGCTCGTCGGGAAAAAAAAAACATGAAAATGGAGTTTTAAAATTGAAAAAAAAATTCGATGTCACTTAGCACTTTCATTAGAACTGATTGAACTCCAGATGAAATGCTTGAAATCCATGAATGGAAGGTGCAGGCGTATAGCACCGCTGTGACATGTCGTTGCTGTGCCAAGCCCCACTGACTGGAGCGGTATGCCACAAGAGATGAACGATACCTAACATTGAATACCCAGCAAACGTGGAATGTTTGTTTAAGTTCTTCAAACACTTTCTTGCCCGAGGACTTAAGCCATTCGGTATCATCTTGGTCGTGTCTTTGAGAGCTCCTCAAACACAGACAATTTAAGTCTCGGTCTTGATCCAGGGCTCTCGTTACGAGAGCACCGTTTGTCGGTGCTCGACCTGAACTGCCTGGGAACTAGACCCAGCTCAAGCCTGCTTAGATGTTTATATTGAGTTGGAAGTTATGGACGCAAAGCACAGGGGACCTTCACCGGTGTAGTGAAAGTGAAAGTAACTCATAATTATTTAGTAAGGTTGTAGGACAGGAAAAGGGATGCTTACTATTTTTTTACGCAAACAGACTTAAAAGGCAAACCAGTCTATAGATGAACCACAAAACCGACATTTTTGATGGTTGCAGCTAGCCACTTTATTTCCTGCCAAGCAGTAAAGGAATCTTGTCCTCACAAGTCCCTCGATTCCTGACGGGTTGAAAACGCCATCAAGAGACCAATTAGTGAAAGACCTTGAGCCTTCACTCAAAATATCCCTCCCTTCAAATTTGTGGCTAGTCGACATTTCCTCAATTAACATCAGAAACATGCTACTTCTGAAGGTGTCATGCATGAGTCTACCTTTAGCTTCTACGAAGGCTTTCTTTGAATTAGCATCCCAGAATGTCCATGTCTTATGTTTGTCACTTTATGCTTACTAATGTTCCGATATAACCCACTAGAACTCGGAAAGACAATACCAGAACTGGGATAACATCGACTACACGGCGAAAGAGAGCGATGTAGATCTTTTCGATCAAGTAGCTGATGCCATTGCCAAGACTGAGTACGGAAAGCGACTGAACTTCGGTCACTCGATTGATGATATGTTACTGGCCTGCAGCTACAAGGGTTATCCATGCGGACCAACGTAAGATCAACACTTCTTCCTCCCCTAGAAGTAAACCAATATTATTAAAGCCTGAACCGCCTCTGATCCTTTTACGATAATCCATGATGTGGACGCTGTTGCGGCTGGGGTGGAAGACTAGCAACGCACCTGCAGCTTGTTTTCACTTAAGCAAACCATGGAGGAATAAAACACATGAGCAAACCAAACAGCTAGGAGCAAACGAAGTCTTGTTGCGCCCATGGCACATGTTGATTAAAATGTGTTTTCCTTCTTAATAAAATTAGTCATTGCGGAATTTTTTTGGTCAAAACATTCACTCGTTTGAACTATGAGAGTTCTGACAATAAATTTAAACAGACACAAACAAGAAAGTTTTGATATTCATCCTAACACCGTGGTTTTTAATGTATGATCTAGGAATTTCTCCTATTTCCACAACTACCTGTATGGTAATTGTTACACCTTCAATGCTGGCATGAATAGTGACATCCAAACATCAAGCAAGCCTGGTCCACTTTACGGTGAGAGAAATCGAAGAAATCATTGGCTGTAGTGGCCCATAAACAATAATCAAAAAATCTTATATCATTTCTTTTATACCGTAAAACATCACAAGTAGTCCTGATAGTAATGTTACAGGGACGAGGGGTCCAGGCTTTCATTTTGCATTTATACCTTATTTTCATTCCATAAAACTCTGCGCCGGGAACCAACCACATACATCCGCAAAAAAAACATGGCAATAAACGTCAACACTTGGCGAGGTATATGATCCCATTATGCAGGAAAAAATTGTATCTATTCATAGACGAGAACATCTTTGATCTAAGCGTCCATAAACAATTCCGGGGTTTTTTTTAAGTTTTGTGCTTTATAGCCATTTTCAATTCCACGTAAAGAACATGTCCTAAATGTACTTTCAACAAGTCGACAGACTATTGTATTATTAAACCCAGCTAATTTTTGTAATGTCCCCTATAAACTTTGATCCAGTACTCACTGTTTCTAACTAGGAAGCTGAAGGTGAACCATGTTTGAGGGATCATTTCAAACACGTTTTTGCTTCTTGTTTGGAAGGCTTGATTCTTGAGCTGAACTTGGAGGAGACAGAGTACATTCCATCTATACAGCAAGCCTCTGGGGCGCGAGTTGTCATCGATCAGCAGTACCGGATGCCCTTCCCCGAAGATGCTGGTATAAATGTCGCCCCCGGAGTGCTGACTTCAATAGGAATAAGAAAGGTGGGTCGGTGGGTTCGATACGGAGCTGCTGAGGACGTTGCATAAGCTACTTACAAGCGCCGTGCTCTTAGAGCAGGGCCGTCCGAGGGCCTTGAATGAGACTATAGCACGAGCGAGCGAAGAACGATGGGGGTTATTCATTTTGTCCTCTCGCGACATCGGTTTTTTTTTTCTCTAGATTACCCCCAATGAACACAGAGACGGTCGTTTAATTTGAAGGGTAGAAGACAGTCACTCACAAATAGAGAGAGCGCTATTGTTGCATGGACCGACAAGACCGAATAAAAGCAATTGAGAGCAACAATACGATATTGATTCACCAGTTTCAATCAAAATGCAATTCGTAAAATTCCAGTTCGGTCATTGTTAGCATGCACGCAGCCCAGGACAGACAATTTCCGTCTTCAATCTGTTCACAGGTCGAGATAGACAGAAAGTCTGATCCGTACACGAACTGCACGGAGCGAGACTCGGACGATTCCCAGACTGTCTTCTCTGATTTCTTCGGAGCAAATTACAGCCTGGAGGTAAAAATAAAACAGTTAACACTTCCAGAGGGCATGCAAACTAAATGGGCAAGCTGGAGTTGGAAAATGATGCCAGGTCGAGAATTCTAAAGCTATTTTTAAAGCGAGACTAATAAGTCAAGGGAAATAAAACGAGGCCAGCCAAATATACCGTGTAGGGGTTGTTGATTAACAGTTGTGTAAAATCATGCAGGTGTCTACAGTTGTCAAGTTTTTGTCTACACGTTTAGAACGTATTTATCTCACACATCTCATACACTGCTTTGATTAATTTCAATTTCGATAGCCGGAGGGGGGTTATTTTGTTGTCTTGGCCAACCAACTGGCATCTTTTTGAGAGGACTTTGTGTCCGATATAGATACCAGGATTTTTTAATTATTTATTTTAATAATGGTGACACCATTTACGCCTCACCCATGATTCAGCCACGGGATAAATTGTTCACTTTTAATTAAAATTATGTGCACAATTTTTTTAATAGGCGTGTCAAAAGAATTGCCTGTATGAGGAGATTTTTGAGAGATGTGACTGCGCAGATACCCGATTCCGATTCCTCGCCGATCGTATTCCGTGCCTCTCAACAAACAGCTCACAAAGTATGTCCTCATCGTTGTTCAAATATTCAGTTTTACTCTTCACCTGAAGTTGATTTTGCTGAAAGGACGCAACACTTTTCTAGTAATTCACAACATTTCAAGTTGTGTCATATATCAACAAATAAACATCTGATAGATGATTCAGCATTGCGGTTTTCGCAGTGCAGTATTGCTGAAAGTGTGGTTTTGCTCAAAGTTCTTGAACACGACCTGTTGAAATAATATATGCATGAATTGGCATAACTTCCGCTGATCAAATCCTCGATATTATTCTGAATTATGGGAAGACTGAAAAGCCCGTGTTTCTGGTGTTATAAACTGTGTATTTCGTTTAACTTTCCAGCAACATGTAAGGAGGCAGTAGAACACCTCTATGCCAATGATGAGATCGAATGTAATTGCACGTCGCCATGCCAGTGAGTTGAATGTGTGTCATGCGATTCAGTGCCCTGACTCTGACCACGTAGCAGAGACCAATTAGTGTTGAAAAGTGTGACAGACACCAAGCGATGGGGACTTCCATCCTGTTGCTTTATACCGTAGTTGGTCCGGACAGCAAAGCAGCGATTCCGGTGCAGAGTCCGCTTTTGTTGGTGTTTCGTCCATTCTAACATCTTTCCACGCAAGGATTGAACCCATGAGCACCGTGGACTCCCCTATTTCCCCACTGATATGGTTGTAGAATACGTTTTTCCATTATTCCAACTAAGTTTGTTCTTGATCAATTGGTACAAAAAGTTCCAAGTGAAAGGATCCCTTCTCTCCACCTCACTTGCGGATCCAGGGGACAACTGAGCTTATAGCGGGATACCCCCCCCCCCAAAAAAAAGGATGGGGCTTTTTTCAAATACAGACTGAGAAAAAGGCCCTTTTCAGGGTTCTCTTTCATTTTCCTTCCCTCTAAAACGTGTAAAAGCCCTAAATTTGCCTCAACCCTCTGAAAGGCCATACAAATTAACATAAAGAAATGTCCAAATGTTATGGCCTGCCAAAACAGTTTTGCCCCCTCCCAGGTTCTCTACAAAAATAAATATTTTGCTTCCTGATTTACCCTTGACGTCCACTAACACACGCTTTACATTCCAACAATATAACCCTTCTGCGATGCACGACGAAACCGACAATTATACGGCTTTCAAAGTGTGAATAAAATGTGTACACTACCCCCCAGGGAATCGTCCTTCGAACTGACTGTATCCTCAGCAGCCTGGCCTAATTCGGAATATGCGGTAAGGTTCCGTTTTCTTCCATTCACACGAGCCGCCCCCTGTCGAAAATGATTTTTACGCTTCCAATTAACCGTCCTCGGACGCGTAGTGCTCTGGAGTTTTTGCTCCGAGGAGAGCAGGACTATCTTAATGCCAGTTGACTTGTTCAGCTCTACTCTCTCGTCTAGCCTGCTACTTCTACTCGTGAGGGTAAAAATTTACCCACCATTATCACTAATCTTAATTCGAAACACACTTACCTGAAAAGCCAAGTTTTCATTTGAGTCTAATCTGGAGAAAGCGCGCCAATTTAACTTCAGCCGGCGTGACAGCCTTTCTGTTATGCGTTAGTAAGTGCAAGAAGGCAGTGGGCTAATTCTTTATACCAAGATAAAAGATTTAATGCCACATCCGTGAGTCCTTTGTTGATGAACGAGGAATGTCTGAAGGAAATTTTCATCACATAGGTAGTGTGTTGCTGGTAATTATTGGAAAGAGATATCTTTATAGAGATATATAGTAGATGTCGATGAAGGTTCCGTTTGAGTGAAGAAAATGAATTGGAAATGTTGGAAGTGGCAATTTTGACCACTAGTCAATGTCAAATGTACTCTGAATGTAACCTTCAAAATTTAATGCCCAGCAGCTAAATATAGCCAGTCAAGTTCTTTAGACATTTGACAGACTTGTCTCCATCTTTCTCGCCCGTGCTGTCCTTGTTGGTCAAGGGAATATAATTATCTGCCTTGTCCGGGTTAATTTAAACATGGAAATACCTTTTTTACCTTTATCACAGCAAATTCTAAAGTCTTGGATTAATTAAATCTGAGTCGTATTTTAGTCCCTGAATAGTTGTAAAGATCAATATGAAGAAGGCAATGAGCACTGTGGTCGTCTTCAAGATTATTTTGTGTGAAGATTCCTGTTTTAAGGTGAAGTGTCCCTGATACAAGTAAAGCAATTGATATTACTTGGCATTAGGCTAACATAATCGAATATGTACAATAAAGATACCAGAAATAGTAAAAATATGCTGGTCATTTTGCCTGAATTCAATTTGCATGGACATCTGGTCAAAATATCTTTTTATAGATTTTATGAGGTCGACATGCCAAAGCTTGTTCTATTTATATTCAATAGATAATTCACATTCAATTCAGTTCTATGGAAACGTTTGTTGTCTTCAACAATAGGTTATTGGTAGCGACTTGTTTATGTGACATCTTCAGTTTATGATTCAATTTATATTTTGAATGAACAAAGAAACTGACTAAAATAGAATTTGGAATTGCCACCTGTGAAACACTAAATGTTTTAAAACCTTTTGCAATAGGCCACTGTCTTGGAGAATTTGCGCCAGATATCTGACGATTTCAGAACCAAAGTAGGCAATGATGCAAATTTCGTGCAGTAAGTACGGCGCATGTTTTCTCCTTTTTGGGTTGAGTTGGGTTGGGTTTGATGCTGGCCATTCAAATAACAAAGGGGTATTGGCAATCAAATCGTTGATACACGTTTCAAGCATCAATTCTATACGTTTGAACTAAGTACACTATGCATATGCATATTATCAGAAGTCCAGAATATGGGATATCGTCTCTATTGAGCTTGGAGAACTTGCCAAGAGTTCCTTTCCAGATAGGCCTATAACAACTAAATATTGCAGACCTCAAATTTGCTACCCTGTGCTTAATGGCGATCGATTCCTATTTGGACATCACATCACATCACTTTAGTTGAAACCACGTCCACTGCACATATTTAACGCGCAACTTCAGTGTTCGTGCAATGATCGGAGCCGGCAATCAGCTCATTGATTGCAGCGGTGCGTCAGCGTGAATGACGAAGTCACTTACGAACCGGATTGCACCCTCGTTATGCTGCGAGGTCGCTGACATGGATTTTTCCCTTGCTTACAGGAACAATGTCTTGAAACTTCAAGTCTACTATGAACGATTGAATTATGAAATGATTACACAAACTCCAAAATATGATGTAAGTTGAGAAATACCAATTCCTTGTCCATTTTTTCTTGAGTCAAGAATAACTTTCAAACAACCATATTTAAAAACGTTCATTGTAGTTATTCGATCAAACTGATTAATTTTACCGACCAATGTCGTCTTTCCGTGGATCAACGTATAGGCCTATACCAAACTTAAAATGGACTCCAGCGAGATGCCACGAACATCCAAACTTGCTTATTTGCCGCCACAAATTCAGAAAGGGCAGAAATGGTCGTATCTTCATCTCAAACCGTAAAGAGCTGGGGCAGGAATTCACCCTCCTTCAACAATTTCTTCAATATCGTCCTAGAACATTTTTGTTTTCGCACTGAGCCCTCAGGGTTTTTGTTTTCTTAATTTTTTGTTATTGCAACAATACCACACGTGCGATTGAACTGAAACTTCATGTATCGTAATGATTACACAGTGTGTCCATGTACTTGCACCTTAACCCTAAAAGAGCCGTGGTGGAATCCCCCCCCCCATTAAGAATTCTTTTAGAATAACTTTCTGCGGTCATTTGGACACCAATTTGGTGAAAATTGAATATACCGTTCTTGCATAGCAGTAAGTAGGCCCACCAAAAATGTATACTTTTTCAATGCGGTGCTCAATGCACACGGGCTGGCACACATGTAGCCTTGAACTTCAAACGACCGAACCAACAAAACTATACATCTGATTGAAGTTAAACTTCATAATTGTTGACAAGGCATCCCTGCATACATGCCAAATGCCAAATTTCGAAAAAAATTGATTTCAGCGCAGCCGAGTTCTTACGTGAGATAGGCCGAAATAACCCGGTTCTTTTAGGGTTAAGAGTAAAAAGATTGGGTGTGGGACAAGCGAGTTTTTGGGGTGGATCTGCCCCGCTCCGCGTGAGATGGTCCGGAAAGCCTGACTCTTTTGGAATTAAGACAATTAAATTGGGAACCCCACCGTATAAAGGAAACTATATCTACCTGATAAACAGGTTGGGATTCGAACCAGGTTCACCAAGAGCCTCAGCCTCTTCTTGCGAATGAATCAAATTTGATTTTTTCTTTCTTTCTTTCATCTCAGGGATTCGGACTGATCAGTAATCTTGGCGGTCAAGTTGGCCTCTGGATTGGTATCTCTATGTGCACGGTTTTCGAATTCGTCGAGCTTCTTTACGACGTGTGCAAGATTCTGCTGTTGAAGGTGATATTCTGCAGTCACGCTAAGCGGGCAACAGCGCCCTCCGCGTCGGATCTGAAACTGGACGAAAAGCCCTCTAAACCTCGCCTCGCTTTGAATAATTGAGGAGACTAATATTAAGGCAATTAATTACGGTATGCAATATCAGTGAATGACAGCGAGACAATGGTCCTTTTGTCATGATGTTTGGTCCGTACCACCATGGCTCTCAACATGTCTTCCTCGATACGTACGGCAATTGTTTCTTTTTTGTGATGGCAACAATATCAGGCAATAAATCGATGCTAGCGAATGCACCGATGATGCTGGAGGAGAAGGTCAGCACTATCAGCCGACATGAAATTTACACGAAGTCGATTACAATTACCGTACCACGCATTCTATAACACTGCCGGTTTCAGGATGTTTGCCCATGGTTTGCAAGAAAATTCAATGTGCGTGGAAAGAATGGATGAAAAGTGGGCATTATTGTAATCGTGGAATTACGATTACGATGACTTGATATCATTCTCTCTATATATTCTATATACGATCCAGTTCTCTCAAAAGTCACTCCATCTGACGACCGTTACTTGGCAAGACGAATGTGGGCGAAATTTACTCACCAAGGTACATCAGAATTCCATATAAGTTAGTTTCTATGCATCGAAAGCTATGCATCGTTTCAAGCTTTTCCAATCTAAATTCAGAGTGATTTGACTCTTAATCGTTCCGTGACTGATTTCACTCTTCGGAATTAACGAGAGACATAATTATATGATTTTGAGAGGGTTTCCATGGTACCGCTTTTACGAGTTTCCCTCAAAGGGAATCCATGCGTATTTTTAGAACAGAATTATATCAATTTCATATATTCAGCAATTCTGGTGTGACACTTTCTACTTGTAATCTAGCGGGGTTGGCAAAATATATGAATAATCAAATGAGCTTGGGTGGTTGAGTTGCCCAACGGCAAAAACTATTTCCTCATAAATTGAAGTATCGCTATGATATGCCTCACCGTGTATTGTTCAGCGTATTATGAAGAACCAAGTAGAACATGGTCTTATTATTAGGATGTACTGAATTAAAAAAAACTAATTAATTAAATTATTAATGGGCTGACGTGATGCTCTGGCAAATAAGACCTACCATAAAAGAATTCTCAAAAAAATTCTCAACAAATCAACTGTTTTGGTTCAATTTTTAGTAATCTGTGAGGTTTCCTTGGTTTTTCATTTGCTTACGTTTAAAGTCCCAATATACGATATTCTCAACTGACTGTCAGGTTTGCTAAGTATTTTAAAATTTGTCAGTATTCTTAAACATTACCACAGCATCACTTTGGCCTATCAGAGCATTTTGTGCGATCCACTACACCCTTATTACGCAATTGCTCAGATACGACACCAACTGTTAACAATAGAATACAAAATTTACTGTACAATTTACAAGATACGTAAAACCGATAACTCTGAACTCTTCTATGCCTCTTGCAATAGTTACTCAATGTTTATAAAAGAACGCGAGAGAGAAAGGGTTGTTTTCCAGACACTGATCAAAGAGGGCTGAGGCCCAGGGCATGCTCGTAAGATGATAAAACCGTGTGCCCGCTCTTCCCACTTTACGTATGCCCCCGTTATCATTTGTAAAATGAACTAAGAATAAATATTCACTTCCCCTACTCTAAAAACGATGACAATGTGATGAAATAATCATTCTAAAAGTGGCCTTATCAATTAAATAACGAAAATCTTGGCCGAAAAATGTCCAATCTTGCTCATTGGGACCTATACACTGAAGGGAGTAAGTACACTGAAAGGAACTTCAATAAATGGTTATATGCAAGTTCCCGCATGAATGATTCGTTATCTGTACTCAGTGCTTGTACAACCAAAAATTCCCATCTCTACATTAACAAGCCAATTACAGTCCCGATGTTAATTTGTACTTAATGCACCTGATAAAGCTATTGCCGATCTATGAATCGAATTATAATAGAATTTAACAATACCCAAATTTCTCGGGTGACTGAAAGGATTAGTTTATAAATGGTCCAACCATTTTGCATGTGTCGTCGTGCAGTGTCGCATGACATTGCAGGGCTTACCGTCCCCTGCCTTAATCCCTGTGCCGATGGTTCGAGACCAAAATGTCATTAGGCAGTTGACAGGGGACTTAGCGTAGAGCCGACGTCGACATCTATGCTCAGTCCCAGCGTCCAATATTAATCTGGAAACCTTGAAGTACAGCGTCGTTGATAACGTCAGAGATGACTGATGCCTGTAGCTATGTAGGTGTGCTTCCATGTGTCTTGGTCACACGATCGTGAATATAATTATTTGACGAAACTCACAACTGGAATTGGTATTATAGGAAATGATTTGTGTTGATTGCTTTATTTTGTAGAAAGAGAACAATATGGAAAGGTTGAAATTAATTCGATAAACTTTTTCAAACAAGCATTTAAAAAAATAAAAAATAAAAAAAATATTGATTTTATTTTGACAACTCTCACGGTGCCCACAAATATGAAACATTATCATGTTATTTTTCAGCTAGTGGACTGCAATGATTTTAGATATTCGCGAGAAAACATTTAAAAATAAAACTCAATTTCCTGTTCGCAGAAATATAGTTTTCACTGCTACTTTTGGGATCTGAAATGGTTTAGTTAATTTCTTTACACACATTAGAATACAAACATTTCACTTCAGCATGATACCCGCAAATGTTCACCGCTATACGATGGATGATGGGCGTGCAGCAAAATGGATACATGCTAGCACCTGCACCTTTCATACCCAGTAGTCAGTAAGCAAGGTATCTCGAGCCTACAGAAAATTCCTGGTCCCCCCAAAATGGGGGCATTACAAACATACTACAGTGTATCATGATACACAGTTTTGCGTCTATTTGAGTTTCTATTTTGGGAAAGATACAAACTGCATGTTTACAGATCATCTTGGAAGCCTCAGTAGGCCTCAGCGTTTCTAAGCTTCGGCACTTTCCTGAATCGTGTGCTGATACCTCAAAAGGACTATACAGGGTCGACGTAAGACTGACGCCTAGGATCTATGACACAATTTATCTGGCCCTATACATATGTTCTCAAAAACAACTTCGCGTTCTCCCCGTTGGATCAATATTAAGTTTTACGTCATTTGGAGGGGGCTATTGGATAATGAAAAGTTGATATTTGACGCAAAAGAAAATTGTTCTTACATGTTTTGGAAACGTTTAATGTTCTTACACCAGCGGTAGATGTCGCCCCCCTTGAAATCTGTGAATAATCTCCGTGGAAATACAGCTTTTTTATTTTTCATTTATTTTTTGTGTCTGTGCCGCCCCCTTCAAAAAAATGTGTGCACGCCCCTGGGCCCTCCTCCCCAACATTTAACGCAAGTTAGTCCTTGCACGTTATGTAACACGCAGGTATAGGCCTACCCGTATACAGTTATTTTATTGATTATTATGAAACATTCTGTGGCCTTCACTCCGTATTTCTGTTTACATAATTTATGACTGTGACAGTAAAGCTATTCGTGGTTGTCTTTGCTTGACTATTGAAATGTTGTTATCGCAAAAATAATGGGAAAACCCCAATTCGGTTCAAAGAAAAATGCTGTTGACTACTGAAGCAGTAGGCGTGTAATTACACTTCTCTCTGGGTATCGCTTCTGTCTCATTAGTTTTAAGTTATCCTTCGAAATGCAAGTGGGCCCGGTAATATTCTGATTCTCCAAAATTGCTTATGGCTCACAAAGTTTCCTTGGAAAACCCGAAAACTGGATTATTTTTTACGTATGCAATAAAAATTAAAGAACATTAATAAGATATTGTATTGTTCTTGGAACATAGCACGTCAACGAAAGTAGTACTGACTAATTATAATAAGGCGAACTGGTTTTCAATTAACCGTGTAAATTTATTTATAACATGACATCTTCACAAAAATTTACATCTATATATAACGTAACCGGATATTTTTTTTTCAAGTGTCCAATTGATACAAAGTCTGATTAAATATTTACTCAGTCATTTCTGAGGTCAAAATTGTACTTTTCTGGGTTAGAGTGGCCGATAAAAATGTCTTTTTGACCCAGGAAAGAAATTCGTAAATTCAGATTCAGAATATCAGACGCATGCCTATTTTTATAGAATGAGCGCGATCCAAACTTGTTCAACTTTAGCCTGATCTATTAATCTCTAAAAGCACCATGACCACGTTTGTCCGTGAATATTAACGTCCAGAAACCTTCAGCATTTAGAACGGAATATTAGTTTAATGATTTCAAATTCAAATTCGTCTAAATGTCCAGCAAGATGAGAATGAAAGCATAGAAAAGCTTCCACAGGCGAAGCGCAAATCAATCAACGCTGTCCTTCTATAAATAAAGAAAACACCATGTTAAGTGGCACGAACTAGAAATGTTTGTAGTGTGTTGGTTAATGTTTAAATTGATTATGGCAGGAATTTAAGTTAGTCACGTGCTTGTGCATTACAGGCGCTGCAACAATAGAGTGACTTGTTCGTCGTCCTTTGCACGACCTGGTTTAAATCACGATTATATATTGGATAAATACTATCTTGTCCATATGTTGTTTAAAGGTTGCACTGATTTTGAACACACACACGTATTGTGTTAGTAAAAAGCAACAAACACCATTTTCTTTTAATAAGGGCCCAGGCATAGCAAGCGAGAAAGGATATTCCTGGCAGTTTAAAAAGCGAACACAACAGCAATTTCCTGAAGGACTCTTCACAATGACAGCGGAAACCACGCAATATAACCTGGGCATTTTTCCTAAGGCTAATTTCGTTAGGTATGGTATCTCAAACCAAGCATGGACAGACTGGTATGGTGGAGCGCTTGTCGTGCAGCCGTTTCTTCTTGTACGGAGCTTTTGCTGCTGGCAAAGACTCAGTAATTGGCATACTGAGCTGGTTTCCCCTTCTTGTATAATGTGAAAAATGGGCATAAATCCCGAAGGGGGGGGGGTATGAGGGTTGTATGACCTCTCCCCCAATTTCCAGCAAAAAATGTACGTTTCTGACGTGATGCGGCAACCATTTTTCGTCACCGCGCGTTCGTTTCATCGTTTGTCAGTGAAAATGGCTTTGCTAAATTACTCCGTCGAGTCAGCTTTTTTCATGTGGGAATACTTTCAGTTTTATGGCGATAAAAGCCGGTTCCTGGGATGTGTTGTGGCCATCTGACCAGAAGCACGTAAACTTTCTGCTTTGGTTTGGCATTTTCGCAACTTCAGTTTTGCTTGAGTGACGTCATTGTGCCGACCAAACAATATTTTGGAGAACCAAAGACTCGAGTAGGTTTCATCGCCTGCTCAAAATGGCGGAAATAACCAAATATGCATAAGGCAAGTTTGATCAGCGACAATTTGTTAACCGCTTGACGAATTTGCCTGGTGCCTGGTATATATTTCATGCATATAGGTTACCAGTCAAAATCAGTCATTGGTTGACAATTTGTCGCACATCGAAACTGCCCATTTTTTTTGACGTCTGTCAAATATGTGAATAGACCTTAGTAATGGGGGAGCCTTTTATATGATGTTTCCTGCGTCAATCATAATCAATGCAATCTGTTAAAACAGGTGGTGCCTGACTATTTGGGGTTCCCAGCCTCGTTTTCAGGTTCCTTAATGTGGCTTAAAACGTTTAGATAAATTTGTCACTAATTTCGTATTATTCTGACATTAATTTTTATTGAACTTGTATTTCTCAAATTGAAAAGTTAAACTTTTATTAAGCTTTTTATTTAAATTAAGTCTCCAATTCAACATTTCCGACACTTGAATACAGTCTCTTGTGTATTCAATTTGTTACGTACGATTAGAAACTTTACATGGTGGAAGTAGTACATATGGTAAGGCATTGCGGGTATACACCATAAGGTCTATCTCTTCAAGAAGAGATGGGGTTCTGAAAAGAACAGAGCCGGTGAGTGTTAGCTCGACGTTTTGACCAGGATGCCCTGAGGACGGCTAGAGGATCCTGGTCAAAACGACCAGTTAACACCCACCCGTTCTGTTCATTTCAGAACCCCACCTCTTCTTAAAGATATAGATCTCATGGTGTACCCGCAAATCCCAAATTTGTTGTTACATGTAACGAATCTAAAGAGGGTACTTTCTCGATCCTGGTATGTGTGTAGAGAGACACAGAGAGAGCAGCAGCATAAAATCATGCCTATGTCACGGTCTTAACTTTTCCAGTGTACTCGCTTCTCCGCTGCGCAGGTTCAACGGATAATTGAGCACGTGCTCTCACACATTCACTTAGGGTTTGTAGCTCTATGCTTATCCACTGTGCTTACTTTTCCTCACGCACGGCCATATGTGAAGTACTTAGGCCCTATACAAGCCTCACGATAAAAATGGGAGTCGGCTTGGTTTCGCATAGCCCTGTAGTCCTTTGGGAAAAATTCTACAGGGTAGCAGCATTTGGAGCCTGACGGAGTCGCTCTTCCTCTTGACAGAAGAGAGTGTCTTTGTCATGTCTGCCGTCACCAGGTCGGCACAAAAGAATGCAGAGTCCACATGGCTCTAACAAGTTTGCAGCACGCGCCGCGAAAATAATGGATTGTATATGGTACCCTGATCTTGCGTGCAACAGTAGAACGCTAACGAACAGCGGTACCGCACGCAAAATAAAGTTGACGAAAATCAGACAAGTGAGACCGTTACAGTATTGCGCGGCAAAGACGTTTGACAACAAGTGTCTACTGTGTTGTTCTTTGTCTCCGTCGACTGGGGCCACAGGTTATGGCTCTGCGTTTTGGGCGCCGGGTCCAGACATCGCTGTGACGTCAGGAACATGTTTATGATTCGGGTCGCGAAAACGTGCGTCTGTTTATAATACTGTTAAACGTTGACAATCTGCCTGTTGGAATTGTGCCAAATGAGAAAGGGTGTCGGGGGTTTTACTTGTTCGCACATTTTATGGTTTTTTTGTAGATACACGGAGATGAACATGACGAACAGAAACTTCTGATCAAAATATCAACACCTGCACCCACAGGCTAACTCTAAAAAAAACTTTATCAAATTGTAACATGGCTGTCAAAGAATGTGGTAACATTTTCTTTTCGGTGAAAAACATAAGCCAACATTACAATCGACTTTTCCATTTCCAGTGTAACGTGGAAATTTAGTCGAATGTGGCCAGTAAGTATACGTATATATATTTACCGTTCCTTTCATTTAAATTATTAGAGTTTGGTACTGACCTGCATTCAGTCAAGGTGGTCAGGTTAAAACCAAAAAAATCCCCTCAAAACAACCCACCCCTGTGACATCAGTTCGTATATTTCTACGGGTAGGTATCGAGCCGTCGCGTGATTAAGCTCACCATGGACGCACGTTTCACCGCGTACATTATGTAAATGATGAATTTCACGTATGATTTCCCGTTGCGATCATGCTATACACACGAGACTTCAACCACATCATGATGGGTCAACCAAATATCGTCAATTGTATTCATTCTTCATTTATTTTATGTATTGCATTTTGTTATCCAGCAAATGCCCAAGTACTTAAAACATAGGTCCAGTTTCAGTTTCAAAATCTTGTTTGGGAATTTATCTACTCAGCGAAAAATAGCAAGGGACCAGTTACAAACTTAAGAGACACTCCATGACTTTTGTTACTGGTCACCTGTTTTCCTAAACAAATCTTTTCTTCACTTAGCAACTCTCCGAGGTTATTGCTGTTCAGTGAAATTGACTGACTTTATTAGTCGGCCATATTGAAATTAAAAGCGAGGTTAACTCTTTGTTTTCAACATTGGAGAGTAGAAACTGAAAGCAGTAAAGTGAAATTCCACGACAAAATTAGTACTTGCTCACACTGGTGAATAATTTCAAATCTGTCATCAAACATACCTAGTACCTTAGTATTTAAAGCAGGATTTAGAAAAGTAGTTATAGGGAGGTAATTGCATAAAGTAGTCTGGTGCCATCTTAACAGTTTGCATAGTTCAAGACAGATGAGGAAACCAGACTAAAAATGGCTTCCGGCGTGAATATCATCTGTTTAACCCCATCAGGTGTCCATTGGGGAGTTGAATCGAGTGCAGTATTGTGAAGCTTGTTTGACTACAGCCTCAAAACAAAATCTTTATTCCAACTGGACATGGATACTCATGGAAAGGCACGTTTCTCTACCACAGTGACAGAGTACTCTAATTATCCTTGGATTGTTTTCACCGATGACATCAAGTAGCTGTTTGAACCCATAAGAATTTTAATTAGATTTTCAATATTTCAATTGCACTTTGAAAAAGTTAGCTCTTTGGGTTATTATTACGACAAATCCAGTTGGAAGTGATCATGACAGGCCATCACTGTAAAAATAATGAGGAGGATGACACAGGTTTCTATAATTGCTTCATCTCTCACACTTCAAAAAAAGCTCCATTTCTCAGCTTTTCTTCAACTAGTACAGACGGAACAGGCTTGCGTGCTGTCTTAGGGTAAGGAATCCTTGGTAAGCCTATACATTTACCTGGAAACATAATAAAAAAGAGCCCTCATTCTGATTTTAAGTGTTTTTCCAGTTTTTAATAAGCGAAGAAAATGAGAAAATTCTGAGTTTATAGGTTATAGGTTTATATACATCTTGGTATCAAAGCAACTACCTGCAAACTCAGAAATTACACAGACAAACCAAAAGCAGGTTGATACTGCCTTGTCGTGAGAGTAAGCATTAACCTTTGACCTGCCTCCTCCCCAGCATCATTGTAATTACCTTGCTCGTGAGCTGCCCAGTGGCTATCCAACCACGCAGGTATCGTCGTGCATGTACTGTACGTATGGTGCAAACTACGCACGGATACGCATAATGTAACATCACAAAGTAGCTTCACGCATCGGGTGCTATTTTGAACCCACTGCATATTATGATTCAGAATCCTTTACATGGGTATGCGCGTGTGTTTGTTTATTATTTTCAAAACCACATAATGAATGACAGGTAATTCGAGCAGGATATTGTGTATCAGGGCCGCCAAAGATGAGCACGGTTTCGAGTGTTGCCAGCACGATAGCGTCTACCACCGATAATTCTCCATTCAACACAACCTGCCCGGTATATGTCGTCCACAAACATGTGATGCCAAACGACTGGGACGATCCAATCTGGATCCTAACTAGTGCCTTTGTGATATTTACAATGCAATCCGGTAAGAGAATCCCTGCATCTTCTTTCGGTTTTCCCTTTCTCATTATTATTCGGCCTTTGTTCAAACAGATGCGACAGTTTTGTGTTTACATTTGCCCGTCTTTTGTAATAAGGCCTCCTGGAAATCGGACTTGCTTTAAGTCCATGTTCTAGTGCGAATCACTTCTATAGAAGATCAATTGGTTTGTACTTGGAGTGTTTTACATGCAAATAGTTTTTACCTTTACTGAGATAGCTTTCGCATCTGTTGCATAATGTACTTATAGATCCCCTACATTGAAATTTATGAGGCAGTTGTTACATTTTGGCGTCATGTTTGCCCGTTTTCTTGGAGTTGAAATATAAATCATGACATATTTTGCAACTAACATGTTTTGTTAGGTACGTTTGTTGTCCTGCATGCAATTTTCTGTGTTTACTGTTTCTTAGAAATTGGCCCTCAGTGTTGTATCAGTATGTTTGGATTGAGCTTGTAGTTTGAAATGTAAGTTTTAATTATTGTATAGCATGCCTGTTAGGGTTTTTGGAAGGTTACTGTGAGATGAAGTAGGGGGGTGATGATTGGTGCGGACCTTAAGGTCGGGTAATGACGTGTCGGGTCAATGAAAAATGGTTTTGGGCTGAACAATTGAAATTCATGTTGTCAACTGTTAATGTTTTCCTTGTTTTGTAGCAGTAACGCACAAGAAACCTGAAAAAAGAGAAATAACGCGTACACTTTGAAACATAACGTATGGTTGTCACTTTAGAAGACAAAAGACACTGGATACAGTCGTTCTGAGACAGCATTTGAGTTGATTGTTAGTGAATTGCGTTCAATTTTGATTAATGTTGAGAACATATTCAAATACAGAAATTAATTTTGAAAGCATCAGGTGTCATATTTGTTGTCATATGTTGTGAAATTGACACACTTATTATACCAGCTCAGAGTAACTGACATTTTTCGTGTGTTCAACGTACAACATGAGCATTTTTCAAAGTGGCGTTCACTCTCGAAATTACGAATGCACCAAATTCGTGTTATTCTGGTGTATGCTGGACTCAGACCCAAAGATAAAATGATTCAGTGAAGTGCAGTGGGATCTGGAATGCTCTGGTTAAAAAGCGCATTGATAGACTTGCGAAAAATTGTATCGCTGGAAGTATATTTCATGCATTACTATTTGTATAAGTGTTCTTTGTAGATAGAATGAGACAAACGGTTTTCCGTGTCTAGTGTAATAGAAGATTTCTTTGTCAACATCGCTTGGGTGTCTGAGCTTCCTTTACTGTCCTGTGCAAAGCAGGTCTTCACCTTAGAGATATGTGGCATTGTAACCACAGTCTTTTTAAAATTTACGTTTTGCGTCGTCCTTACCCCCACTTGTCTAATCCGTAATCAGACCCCTAAGCTTAAAAAGGAATTAGTATCAGTGTTAATTGCGCCAAGTTGTTAGCTTCGTTCCTCATATCCACACCCAACTGTAGAATCGGTCCCAATTACAGTTGGACAATCCTGATGTCAAAGTGTTTCAGTTAAGTCAGCGATTTTAGCTCAACAGTTGGAATCGTCCCAACTACAGTCACTTGCAAAAGTTTAGGACCACCCATACAAAATGCATTAACTAAACCTAAACAATCAATCATGCATGGCAATTTTGTTTATTGTCAGTGTGTAACATTAAGAAATGTAACAGGATAATATTTAGTATGCCCTCCTTTTTTCTGGTTACTTAAACTGGCTTTTTTACCCATACTGCCTAACATACAAAAAGTCATTTGCCTCTGCAAAAAGAATCATTCAAATGGGTAGGTAGCACCACACTGATATTATGCATCACTGTAAACACAGGTTAAGTTATCATTCATTGAGACAGTGTAATGCAGGCCCAATGAGAGAAATACCCTTAAAATTCCAGGTGGTCTTAAACTTTTGAAAATGACCGTACAGTCGGGACCATTGCCATTGTTGGGGCTTAACACAGATCCTTCCTAGTGTTAATCCAACAGCGCAGCTTGAGCAAAGTACAAGTCGAAGCTTAAAATACAGACATGCAGTTGTTCATTTGGTATCTTTCTTGTCTCAAAAGGGTCGAATGCAAAAAGTCATCACCATCCGTCGCCAGTTGTCGTTTACATTTCTTCACATCCCTCCCCATTTTGTCAGCGGAACTCATACCGTGCGCGGCTTTCAACTCCAGAAGTGGTGGCCGGTGGACAAAGAAATATATATCTAACTTTTTGATTTCGCTTTTGACAGGGTTTGGTTTGCTGGAAAGCGGTACAGCTACATCCAAGAATGAAGTCAACATTATGGTTAAGAATGCCGTTGATGTTATATTTGGAGGTATCACCTACTGGATGGTGGGGTACGCTTTTAGCTTCGGTGATCAGGAACACGAAAACAAAAATGCCTTCTCAGGATATGGCAACTTCTTTCTGGACGTGGAGGCTGACGACACTGGTATTGGACAGCGTTACTCTCATTTCATCTTCCAATTGGCCTTTGCAACGACGGCCACCACCATCGTGTCCGGAGCCATGGTGGAGCGCACGCGCCTGGAGGCTTACATCATCTTTTCTCTGCTCAACACTCTCATCTCTAGCTTCCCTTCCCACTGGGTGTGGGCCAAAGACGGGTTTTTGTTCAAGATGGGCGTGGTGGACGTTGCTGGGGGCGGACCAGTCCATATTGCTGGCGGGGTGACGGGTCTTGTAGCGACCCTGATGCTTAAACCACGTCACAGAAGGTACAAGACCTCGGATCCGCCTCCCATGGGTTCGCCTACTAACGCCATATTGGGCATGTTTATGCTATGGTAAGTTTTCAAAGATCCCACAAACGCACATGGTTTGGACATATCTAGTAAATACATCTAATGTTCAAGGTATGTCAATGTCTATGCCGTTTCACAAATTTATATCAAAGACAATGTCGATGACGACAGTGCAAAGGCAGAGGGTGTTGTTTTTCCTCCGTTTTCAAATGGATGACACTTCCTGCTGTGGAAACAATAGAAACCTTTCTTTTGCTTTTGTTACAAGGGACATTTTACCAATCAGTACAGTGATACCAAACCAAAAGAATAAGTGTTTCAAAATTGTGATGGAAACACTACAAATTCAACTAAATAATGAACACTCTACTAAATACTTACAGACACTGCCTCCAGTTTTAACACAGAGAAAGTAAAATATCTATTTTGAGACAAGTTTTGTCGCAAACCAAGGGTGAACTTTTTGCAAACTTTGGCGCCCGTACGAAATGGCGGTCTAGGATTACAGACGAAGGAAAGCTTTATAAAGCAGATTGACCGGTTGACATAATTGAGATGGCATGACTGAGCCTCGAAGCGCTCTTTCCCCCCTCCCCATAAAAGGGGGAAATGGTGTGAAAAGGATTGCCCAAAAATGACATAAAATAATCTAACCTGTACTGAAGAAAAAGGTTGTGGTGACAAGGATAAGAGTTTGTTTGTCTGGTAAGTCGTCGTATGTAAGATTCACCGAAAAGGGCATAGAAAGACAACAAACAATAGATCACGCTTTAAAAAATGGTACGAGCGTTGTTGCTTTCACGTCACAATTTTCTGTCAGACTTACTTGTCTTGTGGAACTGTGTGTTCCTCGTTTAAACATTTGGAAAATATCTGAGCTGTGATACGGAATGAAGAAATAAATTGCGTTGACCTTGTGTGTATGCGGAGAAGCCGTTTTGTTTGCTATCGTATGCAGTCGGCTACCCTCTAAAGATTTATATATGCCAGCCATTTTTACGCACGGTATTGAAAAGGTATTTGGGTATTCACAATGTTATCCCGTCGGGTGCATTCTAGAGAATTTGACACAGGAAGGCAGGCATCTGAACGGGCTATACCATGACAGATATTAAGTGCTAATTCGTGACAGGTGGCATTGCAAGTCGCCTTCCTACAAAATATTTTCATGGAATTGTTGCAGTGTCATGGAATCGCTTTTGCGGGAGTAAACGGAAAGTACGAGCAATACAACACGTACTCGAGTACCAAACTGACATTATGTCAATCACCTGATGAATGTCCTACCAGTCAAAAATGTAATAATGTGTCCCAAACTAGATACAATCAGCCCCTACAACTTAGTGTCCAGGGGCCAGGAGAACAGTTGCAAAAAATGATGGTACTCCACCGTCAACCCGATTTTCGCGCCAATTTAGTTAATCCTTGCGTGCGCCAGAGTCCATCTGTCACCTGGCGAGTTCGTCCTGCATTGCTCGTCGCCAGTTTTACCGGAGGGCATTTTGAGAAAACAATTAGCAGTTGGCACCAAGAGGTACATATTTGGTAATCAATAAGTGAAAGAACACCATCCGAAAGGTCAAATTTTGGACATTTCAGAAGGAGTGGCTTTAAAGGTATAACCGGGAACTTTGCTCAAAATGTGATTTAAAAATGCATTGGCAGTATTGCAATTAAGCGCATACTGATGGTGAACGTTATTTTGGCCTTTACTTGACAATCAAATCGCATAACTTGTGGGGTTGTTAGCGTATACGTAGGCCTATGGAAAGATCATGTGATGACCTTTTGATACACCAAACAATGAATGGCCCAAGCCTTTTATCCATATCTCAATCCATGGTTTTTAATAATTCGTGAGAGCCAACCAGCGCATACATTTTAATTCAATTAACAAAGGCATAAACGTATAACTGTCGGCGTACATTTTCTGTTAACACAAGATGGAAATTTGCCCATAAATGTTCACTACTTTCTGTAAATCTTTTGCTGTCTTCGTTCAGTTGTTTACGTTCCACGTCAAGATAGTGCCAATTTTTGATATTGTTGTTTTAAGCTTAATTGAACGCCATCGCTAATTAGCCAATGCACGCGGCCGTTAGGTCTACGCTACATACTCGACGTCACTTGCTAGCCACTGCTTATGTAATAGGCCTACAGCATCTCACGGTGGTTCTATGCGCATATGCTGAGCTCAGTGCACCTGTGGTCCATAATCCGTTGGGAAACCATCCCGCTGCGGAACGCCATATAGCTCACAGCAATGTACCCTTTGTATGTAACTCACTTATGCGTGTCACTACATAATCGTACGAAAATTCGTACTTACAATGTCATTCTTGTTCAAGCTGAAATGTGTAGCCAAAAGCAATTTTTTGCAAGCAGAGAACAAGCTTAATCCGTGTTCGGGGAAAGAGAGTCAGAAGTGATACTACATCTGATTTTCTGCAATAACTGCTGTGCCTTCTTGGCAAATTTCAAGCGAATTCTTTGAGGTAAATCAGCACGCTGTATAAGCAAACCACCTCATGAACGTATTAGAAAAATTGGTAACCAGCTCAATGTATAAGCAAACCATCTCATCAACGTATAGAAACGTTGTGGCACAGCAAAATCCAGAAAAGACATTAATTCAGGTTGAAATAAGAATGTCGGCTGTAGATGCTGATTCGGAGGCTGGTTGGACGAGCAGATTTTTTGGCTTTGAACGGCTACTCCGGTAATGGCTTACATTCATGACCTACAATGCATTGATTATGGAAGGTTGTTAGCTTCTTGAGCATATGTATGTAATTCGCTCAAAATGAGGTCTACATCTCATTCTCTGGTGTCCTTCATGCACATTGGAACATTGGTTACACTCAGAATGCACACGATCTACCCAATTCAATTATCCTCTTTCCAAGTCCTGGAGTCATATAAAGAGCTTGTAGGTTTTATTCATTGTGCCAAGTACATGTTATGAGAAGATATTGAGCAAGATTGAATACACTGCACCATGTAGAACGTGACATGATGTGCTTCCATGGCAACTCAAAAGGACATCTTTTAATAGCCATTGATTTTTCTTTCTTCACAAAGGGTCCATCTAACTGTTATACTCGGTAATGTGCCGGATTCGATGGCCATGTTGGTAATAACAAACGGTTGACGGCGCGAACCTTGGACTGTCTCCGGCTGGCATATGAGTTAACTTAAGTGGAAACCTTACTCCGATGCCAGTTTGGCTGATCCAACACAGAGGAGAAATAAATCAAAGAATAACCCGTGGCCGTCGGATTAAAGAGCAAATGAAGTGAATTGTGAAGAAGTTGAATTTGAATCTGGGCTGGGGATGTCAAGCAGAGTAGCAACTATACACGTGCTCAATAAAAGTGCATTCTTCAGCACAACGCACAACATCACAGCTGGGCTGTTTGAATGCTCTTGCTTGGCCATAGCCCGTGGTCGGCAAATGTTTGTGTTTTAAAGACACTGGGCCCAGTTCTTTGAGATGACATCAAATAAAGACACTGGGTCTCAAAGACTTTGTATTCTGACTTGTTGACTTCTTGGTTCGCAGGTGGGGCTGGTTGGGATTTAATTGTGGAAGTACACAAGGAATAACCAAGGATAAGTGGGCGTTGGCTGCAAGGTAGGTTCACCCCGATCATTCGTTGATTAGTAAGCCTTGAAAAGTTTAAACTGTGCAAGCAGATGAGGTCAAATTACCATTGGCCAACTTAATCCAATGAACGCCCTGAGATTTTCTTTTCGTAAAACGAGAAATCTCATACCATCTCAATGAATCGAAACCATTAAAGTTCTCCGTTGTCCTGGCAACTGTGCGGCCTGCTGTCGTACGCATTTATGGCGTCCTTCTGTCCAAAAATGTTGTCCAGGGTTACGGCAGGCGACGAGGACTCTACAGTTTATTGTAAGCAAAACAACGTTTCGATTACCGGTGCTGGAATGCAGTGGTGTGTCCTCGTGGTATATACGCAGATGGAGTCTTGTGTGCTCTCTGCGCTGCATCTACCGTGCGTGTTATGTCCGCGAGGGGGGGTCAACAGAAGTGGTCGTAAGGAGTGCAAAGGTCAAATGTTCGCCGCAGAAAGCTGGCAACCTGTGGACAAACAATTTGCTAGAGGATGAAAACAGCCAGCAATTATGTCAATTAAGGAATCGCCCCAGCAATTATTTCGTTATCATTTATATGTGGTAATGAAACTAAGACAAGCATTCCTCGAAAGCACCCGTGGCATTGTACTTTGCAAGCCTGACAAAAAGAGAACGCAATGAAGAGATTTTCATAGAAGTGGGAGTAAAAGCACAAATAAATATTGCAGGGCAAGTCGTGGAGTGATCGGGACGGGACTGAAGACCCAATCCATTGTTGAACTGGGCAAGTTTTGAACATTTCGGAGAAGGCAAGGAGACTACTCTTCAACTTTATGTTTTACCATTTTCGATTTGTCTCGCCTTTGGCCTCGTCTTTCTTGTAATCCTATTATTATCATGATCCAGGTTTGAATAACATCTTCACTTTTGAAACCAACTGTCTGACATCCCATAAAGAATGAACCATTTAGCAAACGTTGAAGGTTACTTTCGAAATCTTTATAATATGTCTTTCAGCTCCCAACTTGAAATGCTGTCTGTATAGTCATCGATTTCTTAATTGAACTAAATTTCTCCAAAAAAGATAACTCTGGGCGATAAAATTTTATTAGCACACAACGCCACTTGATGCAATAGTCGTACTTATCTACTTGAGTTTTCATGGAGTAGTAAGTTATATCATAGTGACGCGTTGTATTGCGCCGGCATTATAGCTGACTGTCAGCCAATTTTTTGCGGACTGTCTTCCCACTTTCGGGTTGAATGTTCAACAGAATGTGTTGCCGTGAGTCATGCCTTTTGTAATTGTGCGCGCAGCCTTGCATCCGGAGTGCCAACGACAGAATAGATGGGGGATGGATAACACAGTGACACAAATGGCGGGAGATGCGGTGGGAATCCTCTCTGGCTAGGCGTGTGCTTTGAAAATTAACAGTCCAAGTGTTTGCAAAGGGACGAACTCCCAGGCAAGTAATCAGTTGGTGATCAGTCGACAAATGCCGCGCCAAACTACATCAAAAATGTTGGGTCGATACTCGACACGTTTTAAGGAAATTGGTTTAAAAGAAATTAAATATCTATGTTCATCATCCGCTAGAAAGGGGAGATGGGAGGGAATCGCACAAGCGTATTTGTTGATTTTTGATAGTAGGTGTAAATGTGAATTTGGAAAACAGTGTGTTTTATTACCATTTTAAAAACTTGTACAACGTCATTAATTCGAATATACAAACGCTTTTTCATTAGGCAGAAAAGTTCAGTATTGAATTATTTTAATTCTAAAAAAAATTATTTGGAGAATATGTGGGATTAAGTTACTCAGTTGGGTGAAGAATTAAAGTGTGTAATAGTTCTTCGATGGTTTCCAGTATTCAGCGTCATTCTGTAATTTAAAACAAACTGACTTCTCATTTTCCAGATCTGCGGTTGCGACAATATGCTCTTCAATGGCTGGAGGAATCGGGGGTATAACCTTGAGGTAGGCTTTATTCGTTTTCTCGTCGTAGATGTTAACAGTGCATAACTTACATGTAGACTTTATTAATTGAGTGTTCTTTTGTAGGGCAACTTTTCTGTACGTACAGTTCCATGGTTTCGCTTCTGCCTTTTCTTATTCTTGTATAGAATAGGCCTATCACAGTCAATAACAAGAACTGTAACCCTGGTCAGTACAAAATAACTAGTTCGATTTGTTGTATACGGGCAATATATTGGAAAAATTTCATTGGTAGCCTATAGTCATTTAATTGTAGTACCGAAATATGTATCGATTCAAACCAGCCAGACGAGTGCGACCAGCTCGGTGGGCGAGTTCATGGTGAGACATCTGTAGTAATAAACAGTGGGTTGTGAGTTCGAGTCCCATCCGAACAAGCATGTGATACAAGCTCTCGCACAGAACTGAGCGTACCGTGCATAATGAACGTGCAGGGCAGTAAGGTTTTAAATTCAATAACTATATTGACAGGATAAAAACTTGTCTTTTGGACAATGGGCAAGCTCTTGTTGTTATGCAGACATTCGGGCAATACAAGTTTTATCGTGCCAATATGACTTTTGCTGGGAGTGCTATGCCAAAAATTTTACATGAGCATGGCGCTGGGTGATTTGAACCATCAGACCTGATCAGGTGATTTATAGCGCGCCAACAGATTTAATATATTTTTTTCAAAACCACTTCAAAGCCAAATTGAATTGTGTAGCACGTGACTTGGCACGCATGTTTACTCCATATTTGGGCCTTTAGGCGTTTTTTTCCTAAATAGTGTTTACAACCTTCTTAAGTTTAAGAGGCAAGGCTCAATGGGAAAGACATCAATAATTATTCCTTCTTGGAATACGAGTATGAATGACATATGAAATGTGCGTCATCAATTATGTAGAACACATGGGTTATGTAAGAAGACAGGGGCGTCACTTACGTATAAGTGGAGGCGGATGATCGTTTCTCAACATAAGCGTTAGTGAAAAAAATGGAAAGAAACGATTGGAAGTGGCATTGTATACTTATGTAAAACGGAGGTGATAGGCCTATTCCACCGTTTCATGGTGATCATGCAGCCGCAGCTTGAGGCCCCTGGCAGTAACATTACTATCAGAGCGTCGCCAAAAGCCTTCAAGAAAGCAATGAAGGCGCAGTAGACGTGAGAAGAAAGCTTCAGATTGCTAATGCGTGGTGAAAAAAAAAATCCGCGTCATCTGGTAGGTTCTTAGCTACGGAGGGTTTTCCAAGCCACTTGGTCGTATTGAAAGAATGCAGGGCCGGTCAGGTGTTACCAAGGCTATTTCTAATTTGCATAGTATACTACTCACGGTAGTCAACTTCATAGGATTTTTCGTTTATTCAGTTGTGATTAAGCCAGCATGGTTGGGCTCCCTTGTGGTGAGCGTGAATCATATTGTTTTTTCTTGGCCGTGTATTGAGTTCAATTGTCACCAGGGCATTCAAATCTTGCAGCGGTCAAGGTCGAGTGACTTTCTCACTTCCGGCCCGGTGCACTGCATCATTGGGATTTATTGGTTGGGGCGATTTTCCTGTCAGGGTTACTTTGTTACCTCGCATTTCTTTGCCGTGGTAACCATGCTTACGTCTTGGTTAATGGGCCACGAATTGCCAACTAAATGAATTGAAATGGGCAAGATATTCTAAATTATCGAAGTAGTTTAAGGATAATGGGAATTGCTGCCTTATCTTCCAAGAATTACCACGACCTGTTTTCGATTTGGAAATCCTATCAGTCGGGTGTAAAAATTACTTCATAATATGGCGCGCATAAGTGACATTTATTTAAGTTAAAGCTATTTCTTTTGATTACTTCAAGATATCTTGAAATAGATTAATGAAGATATCAGTAATCGTTCAAGAAATATCTTGAAATCCATTTGAAGATATCTCAAATTCATTTTTAGATATCTTAAAATCCATTTGAAGATATTTCAAATTTATTTGAAGATATCTTGAAATGGATGTACAGATATCTGAAAACTGTTTTAAG